GGGGGGGGGGAGGGGCTTTTCACTCACCTCATAGTTCTAGCCGACCTGTGACGATGAGACTGTCACAGGTCGGCTCAGTAGATCGGGAAGTGAGCGAACACATACCGGCGTTCGCGCACCTCTCGATCCTGTCACGGCTCTCTGCCATGACAGAGGGAGGGGCTGGATTCCCCCCTCCCCGCTCCGATCCTCCAGCGCTGACTGGCAGAACGGACGGGGGAGGGGGCGGGTACAGCCTCTAGATAGGAGGAGCCAGCTGTCAGTCACGCAGCTGGGCGGATCCCGGGCACAATTGTCAGGATCCGCTCCGGCTGCGACGTCTCAGTATACCGCGAGCTGTAGCTCCCTATATACTGAGCTTAGGGTGACAGGAGGACGCTAGTTTGTGTCCTCCGGTTACCCTAAGGAGAACTATGGGGAAAAAACACTGACCCCCATAGTTCTCCTTTTTTAAAGCAGGGGTAGCAAACCTCCGGCCCTCCAGCTCTGGTTGAACTACAAATCCCATGAAGCTTCTCTCTCCGGGAGTCATGCCTGTGGCTGTGAGAATCTTGCAAAGCCTCATGGGATTCGTAGTTCCACCCGCAGCTGGAGGGTCGCAGTTTGGCCATCCGTTGCTTAAAGGGTCAGTCCATCCTATAGTGGTAGTTGTGTTGTAGGTGGACTCTGATGGGTTTGGTTCACAGATTTCCCGGAGGCGCCAATAGTCGGAGATCTCTGCCATAGTTCCTGGTTGGTTTTTAGTCGCCATCCCCAAAAAAGCTAAATAAAACATGGATGTTGGGGATCCCTCATAATGTCTCCACAATTGTGTCCCCCGAGAGATGGAAGAGACTCTCTCGGGTAGTTCCAAGTCTCCCAGTGACCGCTAAAAGCTGAACTGCTAAATTCAAATTGTTTTGCCTACCAAATGATTTGTACTTCTGTCCATCCTGTCCTGAAATGTACAGAGCTCTGCCACACAGCCCTGCCCCCTGTCTGGCATGGGAGATGACCTGATTTTTCTCTGCTGCAGTTCAAGAAAACCCTTACAGGTCTTGTCCCTCCCCCAGCTTGTGATTGGACAGTAAAAGCTGAATCGGCAGACTGATCTTATCTGTCGGTCTGCTCTCTCCTCCTATCAGCATATATTTTACAAGTACATGAGCACCGCAGCACACCTGATCGGCACCCTTTGTGCTGCTTCTCCCTTTTGTGGCCTGAGCTCGGCTGTACAAGTACTTTCACTGTTAAAGGAGAACTACAAGGTCAGTGTTTTTCCCCCATAGTTCTCCTTAGGGTAACGGGAGGACACAAACTAGCGTCCTCCCGTCACCCTAAGCTCAGTATATAGGGAGCTACAGCTCGCGGTATACTGAGACGCCGCAGCCGGAGCGGATTCCGACTTAGACGACGGGATCCGCCCAGCTGTGTGAGTGACAGCTGGCTCTGCCTATCTAGAGGCAGAGCCAGCTGTACCCGCCCCCTCCCCCGTCCGTTCTGCCAGTCAGCGCTGGCGGATCGGAGCGGGGAATCCAGCCCCTCCCCCTGTCACCGCAGAGAGCCGTGACAGGATAGAGAAGTGAGCGAACGCCGGTATGTGTTCGCTCACCTCCCGATCTACTGAGCCGACCTGTCAGTCTCATTGTCACAGGTCGGCTAGAACCATGAGGTGAGTGGAAATCACTCATCTCATAGTTCTCCTTTTAAGTGTTTTAAAGAAACGCATTTGGGGCCAATTCACACCTCCCCCCGTGTGTAATAACACGCACATGTTCTGTCATTTAAATTCTACAACACCCACCGTACACATTTGTAGCAGCGCGGGGGAGGTGGTGGCATTTTTGCTGTGTGGCCCCATATACACTTTTGCTTGGTGCCCATGTGTTGTGCTAAGGGCATGCTCAGTCGGTGCCCCCAATGCTGTGACTGCGCAGAGTGACGAGCGATCATGTGATCTGTGATGGCCAATCGCAGCGATCACATGATCAGGACACCCATGTAACACCCTCTGCACCATGATCTCTCTTGAAGGGGTTACAAAGGCTGAATTGGGGAGAATATGGCCGCCTTGTTGTACCTGAGGCGAGCGGAGTTTCGTTCTGCCCGGATGTCGCGGGATTTGTGTGTTCTGCCTCCTCACTGTATATCTGCGGCTTCCATTCCCAGGTCGCCCTCGTCCTGCGTCGACTGCAGGAGCTCCAGTCCCGGGAAGTTTCACCCAAGCCGGAAGCGCGACGCCAAAGCCCGCGTAAACCTCTGGGTGAGCCGCTGCTTCCCCTGGACGAGGAGGCCGTGGACATGGACTACGGCGAAAACATGGGGGTGGAGGCTAAAGACGTGAACTCCGACCTCTCCTTCCGGACCGAGGCCTCCCCGAGACTGGGGATCCTCGTCAACTCCGACGGCACGGGGCCGCCGCCGCTGCGCAGGGCGAAGATGGACGCCGATAGCCATCGGAAGGTGAAACACAAACTGTGCTTCTCGGAGTTGGAGCGAGCGCCCAGCGAGTTGTCCAACAGCAGCTGGTCGGAGATGTCTCCCTGGGTCATAGGTACCAACTACAGCCTGTGCCCCCTCACCCCGGGCATAGAACAAAGGCTCATCCTCCAATACCTCACCCCGCTGGGAGAATATCAAGAGGTAAGGTCACGTCTGAGGAGG